TCGTAACCAAAAAAAACTCTACTAATGTTGTGCACTTCGTTTGCTAGTAAACATACTTGGTTTAGTAACTATAAATGCTACGTCGAGTCTTGTACACTAATGCGTACATTCTACTACTAATTGAACTTACATAGTTGAATTATGAAATGGCTCTTTGTCATTCTTTACAAGATTTATACTTGGATCAGCTAAGATACTCATTTCTTTTCTTCTAATTTTCAAACTTGTTCGCTACATTCTCTTTATAATGTGTATGAGATAAAGAATAACCCTCAATATCTTCTATTACTGAAATCTGTAAAATGGTATCAATTTGTCAGAGATTTTCATATTGAATGTAGAAGATAGAAATCTCTTTCTCTTATATCATTTTCACTTGATTACTTGTAATCAAAATGTCGTTAACATAAAATCCAATAACCACATTATATTCATCATATGCTTTTTAATACAAACACTCATTTTCAATTTTACGAATTAATATATTAGAAGCTATTGCGCTATTAATTTTATCACATCATTTGTTGGGTAATTGTTTAAAACCAGACAACAATTTAACTAGTTAGCATAAATATATTCATTGCGAAGAAGAAAAAATTGTTTCATATAGACCTCATCAAAATCCCGATTTAAGAATCTAGTTCTATCGTTCATTGATGAACATGGAAATTATAAACAGAAATAAAATTCTAATCAAAGTTATTATAGTTACTGGTGCATATGTGTCAAAAATCATTCCTTCTACTTTTTGATAATTTTCATTTATTAATATAACCTAAAAGGTTTGGAGAGTACCATCAAAATAATATTTCTTCTTAAACAGGAACTTATAACCAATTGTCTAGAGTCGAGTCGAGTGTTAAATCAGAAAGTTCACAAGTGTTATTCTATATAAAAGAATTCATCATCTTTCTAAAAAGTGAAATCCCTCGAAGACATTTCTCTTTTATAAGTTTTAGGATTACTTTCTACTTGAAGAACAAAAAGGAATTGTTCTTACACCGTCCATTTTATTTCTCTCATCCTAACAAAGAAAAATAAGTCGGCAAAATAAATTTCATTTAGTCCCAAACCTTAATTTTTTAGAAGGCATTTTTGCTTCTTCGAAGTTCACTTGACTGCTCAACTTTGGAAGAGACTCTTCTTGCGAATCTGTAGAAATTAGATACTTTTTTTTCGCTTAGAAAATTTTATGGACTCGAGCTTATCCTTTTCGTGAACTTTTAAGAGAAAAACGATCATTTCTAAGTTCATACTCATGAAATTCTTTTAACGTCTTTAATATATTTTGACATACATGTATCATATGCTAAACCTCATTAAGAATTTATAAACTTGAACTCTCCAACTATAACAGTCGGTACTAATTATCTAAGATATGATAATTTACATATGCATGGTGCTAATACTGTTCATTTATTGAATGATTTTTTCTACCTTCGAAGCTAAAGTACATTTTTTTTTGGGTATTAGGTAGGGCTACTGTAATCGTAAATCATTTAATGAAGTAATTTCAGCGACATCCTTCTTGGTGTTGATCTTTGTAATTATCTCAAAAGAGGTTAGTAAGTAGACCAGCTAGGTTTTCAGTAGACTTTACATACGTAAAAGAAAATATTCCATTCTTAACTTCATTTTATAACATATTCATATCCTAGACTCACATGTCTGTGTTGGTCCTAGATAGAAACAAGTTGACAACTATGGCTCAAATTTCCTTTGTAAAAACAGCAAAGAAAGCATGCAAAATGACAATAACACAAGATTTTTCAGCCAAAGGCCCTGAAGGTTCAGTGACCACTTCTAATGCCTAATCCCCCGTTCAACTCCCTAAAGATATAGCTCGAATCCACTATAAAACCCCAAAATAGGTAAAGATTAGATTACAGCACGAACAACAAATGGTTTCTCGAACCTTAATCTCTCAACCTTTCTTATTACATAGAATCCTCACAAAGAAGTAGCAAAACAATCTACTCTAAATTACTACAACAATCACCCGAAGAAAATACTCAGACATCATCCAGAGGATGACTACAAGAATCACAGAAAGAGAGCAGCCACACGTAGAACACAAAAGAAGGGGGCGATTGTATCAACCAAAACCTTAATGAAATAAGGCAAAAATACGGATCCAAAGGTGCGAAAAAATCCACGTGTCATCCATCCAGAAGAGTTACATTTTGAACCAAAGTTGTGTTTCAACGATTTTTCTATTTCTGGAAGCTTCACACAAATGGATAAAAAATGGCCGGGTTTTGGGTTTAATATGACTACTTACTGGATCAATTGCCTGGGCTTCTACAAAATGTTTGCAACCTAAATCTACAATCTCCACTTTTGTTGCATTTTGGGAATCTGTAAATGGATCCAAACTCTATCTCGTAGTTCATTTCTCATTTTTAAATCTGTTACAAAACTAGAAAATTAGTTATATTCAAGATTCAACAACCATGGAGAATCTTAAGATTTATTCAACAGTATTACCTTTGTCCCTGCATTAGCTGGATTAAATTTGGTAGGGATTTTAACAAGTTTTATATCACAATTTTCAGTTATATCTCTAATGAAATGAAACTTAACACCTATGCGTTTAGTTCTATCATAAAACATAAGATTCATACTCAAGAAAATGGCACTTTGATTATCAAAAGAAAGCTCCACCTTATTTTCTGTAAATCCTAATTCATTTAATAACCCTTTTAGCAAAAGATCTTCTTTAACAACTTTAGCAACAGCAATATATTCAAATTTAGCAGAAGATAAAGCAACTGATTTTTGAAGCTAAGACTTCCAAATAATGCAAGTATTATTTATCACATAAAGTATGCAAAAGTAGACTTTAGGTTATTAGAATTACCAGTAAAATTAGAATCAACAAATCCTTTCGAATTAACACCATTTTTATCAGTTTTAAAGATAAGGTCTAGTTGTTGAGTAGTAAACTTGATTTTTGGACTAAATAATATGGGCTTAAAGATTTTGCTTATAGGCCCAAATCAATTAAAAGACCCAACATACATAGCATTTCTAGAAGCATTATCTAGAAAAATCTATATAAATATCTATTAGAAAAATCTATATAAATATCTAAGTAAGATATGTAGTTTTATAAAGAATATCTAGAGAATTCTAGGAAAATATCTTAATATGTGGTCTAGGTATCTCTAGAAAATGTGTGGACTAGAATCTTCTTGTAAACACTATATAAAGGGGTAGTGCCCTCCATTTTGTAACAAGTCAAAAAGTGTGTAAAGTCTTGAATTTAAGAAATACAAGTTTCCTTTTTCACTTCCTTCTTCCTATT